TCAATGTAAAGTGGATTACTGAAATTCATTAGTAAAATATATCAATAAATTTACAATGAATATACAATTCAATAAAAGATTATCAATATATTCTTGTAATGAAATCATTCCATCATGAAAACTATCACAATTTTATATCAATGTAAAGTGGATTACTGAACGTATTTAATTATTTATATTTATTGTTTGAACTTAATATTAATCTTCTAAAATCAAACTAGTTTTATTCATTTAATAAGAATGTTGTATTTTCATATATTTAATCAAAACATTAATCACTTTCTTTTTGGTAATTGGTATTTTGGTCTAATGTTTAGATATATATAGATATATATATTATATATCTATATATATATATATATCTATATAGAATAATATATTCTCTCTCTATCTCTATATCTATATTGAAATGTATAACTGAAGTATTTTATTGTTTATTTATATTAGCTGAATTTTTAGGGTTTATTTTTTTCTACTCTAAAAGCCCCGAGTCAAACAAAACAATATAGGTAAAGATTCAGTATATATAATATATATAAATCCTTGAATTACCGAATGATAACCGTTTCCGACGACACTTATCTGAGGATCAATCGAGAACTTTTCTCGTAAAAGTTTAAGATAAAAAATGATTCTTCTTTGTAATTAAAATTACATTTTATATAAAATAATTTTTAGTAATTAATAGCTATATAATATATATATTATAAACTAATTCTGATTTAGGAGAAGATTTTTAAATTTTGTAAAACTCTATAAAAGTTAATCAAACGATGAAAGAAAAAGAATGGAGTTTGCAACCTAAAGTAAAGGAAGCAAGCACGAGAAGAAATAATGGAAAGAGAAGATTGCATTGCACAGCAAACAGATAAGATTACGAAAATAACTGAGTGATGTATATGGCCACAAATTATCACAACGTTAAGTCACTCACCCAAACCTACTATTCCTGAAAAGAGTCCAAATTAATAAACATGGTTTTTTTTAGTGATCATACGTCCATATTATTAAAAAGCATTAAATATTATCGCTTATAATAATAGTAATATTTTTATTTTATTTTTTAATTTAAAATTTTAATAATATTATTATATTATTAAAGAGAGTTTTTAACCGAGTATATTTTTTATGGAGTATTACAATATTATTTTTCTTTTATATTTTACATTATCATTTCGATGATACCACACATATATTATTACATCAACAACATTGGTACCTGAAATCTAAAGCTTTTAACTCGATAAGATTTAGATTACCTTTGAAATATTATATAAGTGATTCTCAAAAGTTTTGGTTTGATATTTGTTCAATATCTTTATTTTGGACCAAATTAATTTGATATCAATTCTTATAAGAAGACTACCAAATAACTATTTTTCATTTAAATTATAGTGTTTTTTATTATAGAAGTTTACAATTTTTACAAAATTTATATGTAAATTATTTATATTATTGACCAATTTCATACATATATGTAATTTGCTTATTTGTCTTCTCAATTAAAAGTTTATGCATTAGAAGGAAATGTTAAAGATGAAACTAGATTAAAACAAAATATGTTTAAAAAACTAATCATAAAGTACAATATCAAAGATAAAATAGAAATTAATAAAAGAAATCAGACTCAAATTATGACAAACATACTACTTGATTTGTCATTATCTTGTTTACTGTGTGTTATTAAAGTATCTGTGTTCTAAATATAATTTATTACCTTTTTTTAAAACACAAATAACCTATTTATATTTTTCCACCTTTTGACAATTTAAGCTCAAATAAAATAAAAATAAAACAATAATTAAAATAATTTTCTAAAAATTGCTCATATTGCATTAACGATGCCCATTAATTCCACGTTTGCAACCATTGTTCTTTTTTAGTGTTTTCTATGACCTTCTCTTTAAACTTTATCTCATGAGTATCAGGTAAGAATTGATTGTCATTACTCAATTAAAGCATAATTGTTTTTCTTTAAACGACATTATAATCTTTCACTAGTGTTTTCCCACTTCAACTTACACATTTTATTCTAAAAAAAAAATTAAAAAATTAAATGAATCTTATTTAACTTAAACGACTTCCAGTTTTTGTGACGAATCTTCTCATCACAATTAATAACAACATTCTTAATTGTATTTAGTAAAAAAACAAATTAATATTATAACATGTTTGGTGTCACAATATAGAATGAAATCATTTTTTTTTTGTAATAAAATTTTATGACACTTATTGTGATGACATCACATTTCATAAACAAATCCTCTCAAAAAATTTCGACCTCGAAAATTAGACTTACCAATGAATAGTTGAGGATATGACTCGCGCATCTCTTCCTCAAGCTCCCAGGTAGAGTCACCCGTTCTATCATCCCAGATGACTTTGACCAAACTGACGGTTCTGCCTCTAAGCCACTTGTTCTGGCTCCCCTCAATTCTGACTGGCTGTACCTCCATGGATAGATCTTCTCTGACACTAATATCTTCAGCTTCTAGTACATGAGATGGATTTGGTACATATTTCCTAAGCTGTGAGACGTGAAAAACTGGATGGAGGTTAGCCAGCCGGGGTGGCATTGCTATCTCATAAGCTACCGGTCCTATGCGCCGTAAGATCTGGTAAGGACCAAGATACCTAGGAGATAGTTTCCTAGCACGAATGACTCTTCCTACACCAGTAGTAGGAGTCACTCGGAGGAACACATGATCCCCAACGGCAAACTCCAACGGCCTGCGTCTCCGATCAGCATAGGACTTCTGCCTATTCTAAGATGCCCGCATCCTCTCCTGTATAAGCTTCACCTTCTCCGTGGTCTGCTGAACTAGTTTTGGTCCCGTCAACACTGTCTCTCCATCGTGGAACCAACAAAGAGGTGTTCTGTAGCGTCTCTCATATAATGCTTCGAACGGTGTCATGCCGATACTAGTCTGGTAGATGTTGTTGTAAGTGAACTCAACCAGTGGCAAGATCTCATCCCATACCCCTAGGTGATCCAAAATGCAAGTCCTCAACAAATCTTCAAACGATTGGATCGTCCGATCAGACTGACCATCCGTATGGGGATGATAAGAAGAGCTCATCTGAAGTCTGCTTCCCATCTCACTCTGAAGGGTTTGCCAAAACCTAGATGTGAACCTCGGGTCTCTATCTGATATAATACTCGAAGGCACCCCATGTAGTCTCACTATCTCCTTAACAAACAGTTGTGCTAGCTTCGCCATAAACATTCTCAAGTCGATTGCCAAGAAGTGGGCACTCTTGGTCAATTGGTCCACTATTACCCATATTGCATCGTGTCTTCGAATAGTGCGTGGCAACTGGGTGACAAAGTCCATAGCAATGCTATCCCATTTCCACTCAGGTACCTCAAGCTGCTGCAGCAGACCTCCAGGTCTCTGATGCTCTATCTTAGCCTTCTGACAGGTTAAATAGGAGGCAACAAACTGAGCTACATCCCTCTTCATACCGGACCACCAAAAAGACTCCTTCAGGTCTTGATACATTTTAGTCATGCCAGGATGCATGCTAAAGCGACTCTTATGACCTTCTTCCATGATCAACTTCTTCGATCTCGAATTGCTAGGGATACAGACTCTGCCTTTGAACCTCAAAATACCATCAGTCCCCAAAGCAAAATCTTTACCTTGTTCAATTCCAATCAAACTGGCTGACGTTTAGAGCTCAACATCTTTGAATTGCTCTTCTTGGACACGTTTCAACAAGTCATTGGACACCACCAAATTATCGCATCTAATACTATCAGCTTCAAACTCCACCTGCAATCTCAAATCCCTAAAGCTCTCTACTAATTCCAACTCCCTAATAATCAAGCAAGAAACATGCACCAATTTCCGACTCAGAGCGTCAAGTACTACATTTGCTTTCCCCGGGTGGTACAAGAGTTCAAATTCGTAGTCTTTGAGGAACTCCATCCATCTCCTCTGCCTCATATTCAGTTCCTTCTGATCAAACAAATACTTCAAACTCTTGTGGTCGCTGAACACCTGAAATTGAGCTCCATACAAGTAATGTCTCCAGATCTTCAATGCAAAAACGACTACAGCCAACTCCAAGTCATGAGTGGGATAATTCTTCTCATGCACTTTGAGTTGTCTTGAGGCATAAGCGACCACTCTCTTCTCTTGCATCAATACACACCCCAATCCCTGGTAGGAGGCATCACAGTAAACCTCAAAGGGTTTCCCCGTGTCAAGAATAATCAACACCGGTGTACTCGTCAACTTCTGCTTTAACTTTTGGAAATTAGTCTCACACCTATCAGTCCAAACAAAGGGCTGATCCTTCCTGGTCAATTAGGTCAGCGACACTACTATCCGAGCAAAGTTCTCAATGAAGCGGCGATAGTAGCCTGCTAAGCCCATAAAGCTCCTGACCTTTGTAACCGTCTTAGGCCTTTCCCACTCCATCACTGCTCGTACCTTGGCTGGAGCAACAACAATTCCGCCAGCCGAGATAACATGCCCCAAGAAAGGCACTTCATCCATTCAGAACTCACACTTAGACAGTTTTGCATATAACTTTCTTTCTCTCAAGATTCCAAGGACTGTTCTAAGGTGATCTTCATGCTCTTCTCGAGTCTTAGAATAAACCAAGATGTCATCTATGAAAACAACCACAAATTTATCTAAGAAAGGTCTGAAGATCCTGTTCATGTAACCCATGAAGATCGCGGGAGCATTAGTCACCCCAAAAGGCATGACTACATATTCGTAATGGCCATATCTGGATCTGAAGGCTGTCTTCTGAACGTCATCAGCCCTCACCTAGATTTGATGATAGCCTAATCTCAAGTCAATCTTAGAAAACACAGTGGCTCCATGCAATTGATCCAACAGATCATCTATCATAGGCAACAGATACTTGTTCTTGATCGTGAGTTTGTTCAGTTGCCTATAATCAACACACAATCTGGAGCTGCCATCCTTCTTCTTCACCAACAAGATTGGTGCACCCTAAGGTGAAACATTGGGCCTAATGAATTACTTCTCTAACAGCTCTTCAATCTGCTTTTTCAACTCAGCCAACTCGGCTGGAGCCATCCTATAAGGGGCTATAGATACTGGCCCTACTCCTAAGACCAGATCAATAGAGAACTCCACTTCTCGCGGAGGAGGTAAACCAGGAACTTCTTCAGGAAAGACATCCATGAAGTCATTAACAACCAGAAGATTTACACTCTGGTTCCCATGCGCTGAAGAGTTTAAATCAAAAGTCTCGTCCATATGGAACATGATTAAGAAACAACTAGTACCCTCAAAGATGTCTTGCCTCAATACACCGAGCGACAACGAAAGGTCTTCATCTTCTTCGGGAAATATTAGCTTTTTCCCACCGCATTCTAAGAGAATACGATTGGTGGCTAACTAATCTATTCCTAGAATTACCTCTAGCCCTTGCACAGGTAAGCAAATAAGGTTCACTTTGAACTTATGCCCCTCTACCTCAATAGGACATCTAGAGCACACATTAGATGTCCTGACCAACCCCGCTACTGGTGTAGACACCACCAGATCACACGGAAGCTCTCTGACAACTAGACCGAGCCTCTCCACACAAGCCTTAGACACAAATGAATGCGTCGTCCCCGAATCAAACAGTGCCACACAAGAAGCTCCAGATAATAAGTAGCTACTAACAATGAGATTACCTGCGCTGGCTACCTCAGCTCCAGTCAAGGCGTAAACTCTCCCTGTTGCTTGCGGCCTGACATTGCCACCTCTCTGTACTGCTCTCCCCGATGGGCATGGCGATGGCCCTGTCCTCCTGACTGTACGACAGTCTCTACCATAATGGTCGTCTCGTCTGCAGATGTTACACCTCTTATACCCTATCAGCTGAGGGCACACAGACTAGAGGTGTGGTCCCCCACACATGAAGCATCGGACTGGGCTAGCAAAACTGGATTGCCCCTACTGTACTGAAGGCTGAGATGATGAACCCCTAGACCCAGAAGAGGTAGGTCTAGAGAAAGGGGTCGTCCTAGAGCTGGATCCACCCCTCGATACCGTAGGTCCTCCAACCCTCAGTGGTTGGATCCGCTGATTCTGTGGCTCTTCTGGTTCTCCCTTGGTCTTCTCCATATCACGGGCCATCTCCACTAAAGTGGAGAACTCTCTGATGCGCAACCCTTTCACTAGCAATTTTATATCCTTCCTCAGCCCATTTTCAAATTTTCTACACTGCCAAACTTCATCTACTGTCATGGTGTTGAAGCGGAGAAGGTGTTTGAATCGATCCGCATACTCAGAAACTGATCTGTTACCCTGTGCTAGCTCCAGAAACTCCACTTCTTTTACAAATCTTACACTGTCTGGAAAGTATTCAGTGTAAAATTTGGTCCTGAATAGCTCCCACGTAATAGGAGTCTCTCTTCCAGTCAAGATCGTCTTCATACTGTTCCACCAATGGCCAGCTTCTCCTGTTAGTAAATACTGGGTGTAGGCCAGTTTTCTCTCATCAGGACACTCTTGTAGCTTCTAAACTTTGTAGAGCAATGGTGTTTTGTTGCACTAAGGCAGCATTCTGCTACTGCAGTGCCTCAAGTATGGCCTCAAGTCGAGCATTGGACTCAGAGGTCTCTGACTGAGGAGGTGGAGGAGGAAGCCTAGGTGCCATCTTTTCTGCTCACATAGAGAGAAAAGACCATCAGTCCATTCAAAGAAATAAGGATGATTAACCTAACATGATTAAGAGTACACAAGCATAAGCAAGGCACACACATACCCTACAGGATTTCCTAAGGACAGAAACTGCTCTGATACAATAAATGTGATATCCCAAATATATAATAGATATATATGCAAAGACATCACCAATTTATAATATTAGAAAGTAGTTAAGAGATGTACTTAAAGTATTATAGGATTACAGTCTTTCAGAATTTACTAAGAAATTAAAACTTCAAGCACTAGGGTATTCCAAAATATGCCAAGAATTTGAAACTTAAAACACAACAAGGTTTTTCAAAAGGACATAAGAGAACTAAGAATTCCTAGTGAGTCTAAGCTGCAGCATTATCTTCATTTCTCTCCAATGTTGCCTCCAAAGAAACCTCATCTTCCTCTGCTCATATCCAAGTTGATGATCATTGCAAAAGAAAACACATACAACAAGCACACAAACAAGCAAGGGTGAGCTAATTATATAAAAGCATGCATCATATCAAGCACATAACATACAAGAGTTAACTTAAATCAAAGCAGTTTAAGGCATACATCCTAGCATGTTATCTTCTAGACTTGACTCGTCCGGACTTTAGAATGATAGTCGAGCTATGGCGGGTCCTGCACTCGTGGTGACTTATGAAACTTGGGTTCCCCACCCTGCCACACTCACGAGGTTAGCCTGTTCCGGGCCTTGAGGCATACTGGAAGCCCCCAAGACTAAGACCTCCTGCTACTCTTCACCACATGGATTAATCCCTCTACTTGAGTATGATTAGCCATTGGAGTTTCAGAATGACCCCCAAGACTGAGCTCCTACTTTCATTCTAAAACACTAAGAATCTCACCAAGAGATCCTAC